GACTCCCTTCTCACAAGAACCTGTAATAGAACACACACACACACACACACACACACACACACACACACACACACACACACACACACACACACACCCAACAGAAAAAAACATTGTTCCTCAACTGAGACAGGTACACCACATTTTTCAAAGCACAGATATTGTTTTAAAAACACAAACAGGCCTTAGAAATGCCCAGTGCCATCTAGGCTCAAGCAGGGGAAAGGATGGTAGTGGCTGCCATCCACCCCACCCCCCAACCCCACATGCCCATCTGGCAAAGGGCTTCTGTTACCACACCCTGACCTTGTCAACACTTCCCTCCTGGCCACGCCCATCTCTACCAGTTTCTCTCCCACTTTCTTTTCTGTCCCCAGCTTCCTTAATTTTCACATGAAAAGATAAGGCTCTTTGTGTACACCCCCAACAAATAATATTTTCTTTGGTTTCTGCCTAGTATGTAGACCAATTTTGGCATGTGACAAGTATTTGTTAAGCACTTAAATATTTAGCAAATAGCTGTGGGAGGCACTAGAACAATGAACAGAGCACAGGCTCTGCCCTTCGCCACAGCAGCGGGGCATAAAAGGTGGTGCTAAAGGAGGGTACAGTGACAGGTGGTACAGAGGGAGCCCAGCAGAGAAAACCCTCAGGAAGGGTCCCAAGAGGCGGCGAGAGCTAAGCTGGAACCTGCCTCAGTGATTTGCAAATTATGTTGTGAAAGGGTATTTTTAGTGTTTCAGTGAACCATCTGAACTTCTCAGTAGGAAAGAAGGGATGGAGGAAGGAAGGAAAGAAGGAAACCATTTGAAATTTATTATAGGAGAAAAAATGTTTGCCTACTTTTTGCCTCATTTCTTTCACCCTAAAACCAAAAATAAACAACTGACATTCTGTAACTAATTCCATTCTATGCCTAAACCACCGCATTAGCTTAGTACTTAGAGAAGAAAGTTGCCTGCAGCTGTTATTTTTCACGTTTCTTGAGAAAACATTATAAAACATTGAACAATGTAAAACATATATGAGCAATAGGCAATACATTAGCACAAAATGGTAAGTTTCCTTCCCTTCCCAACGCCACCCAAGAATGGGCTCCAACATTTCCTGGCCCAGGAGCAACCCTAAGCCACCTTAGCCTCTTGAAAACCCTCTGACTAGCCCGGCCTAAGGCCAAACCAGATTCCAAAGTTGGTGATGGAAGTTCCAGCAAGCTCGGCTTTCACTATGCACAACAGCACCTGCTTATTTTCTGCAAAAATACATCAGTCTTGGAGATCTTGGCTGCAATATCCAAAGCCCTGCCACTCCTTTTTAAGATGTTCCTAATTCAGCCTCCTTTTCCTGAAAACACCCACAAGGAACTAGATTCCCCTCACCCTTCGATTCCTGCCAGTCGGCAAATCTGCAAGAAAAACCCACCACCCACTTTCAAATGCTCACTGCTATCATACTTGTGCGTTCACATTTTCCCCATTCATTCCATAGAAATTAATGAGTGCCTGGTGCTGTGCAAAGTGCTTCGGGAAGCTGCAAGCACAGACCCTGCCCTTAAGGAGCTCAGCGTAGGGAAAAGGACGGGGATAACAGTCAGTGCTGGCTAGTTCCTTTGGCAAGAACTCCATTCAGCAAACACTTACTGTGCATGTTCCTATGTGTCAGGCACTAGGGCAAATGTGGTTCCTGGTCCCAGTGAATCCCATCCCTGTGTAGGAAGTGAGCTTTATTTATTTTTGCAGAACCATTTCTAAATTGCAGACATAACACTCTACCCCTACATCCTTAAGCATGAATCTCTGAATAATAATGACTTTCTCCTACATAATCAAAACACCCTTATCATACCTAAGAAAATCAATAACAATTATTTAGCATCATTGAATATCCATCCCATATTCTGAGTTCCCAACCTGGCCCAAAAATATCTTTCATAGCTTTTTTTGATTCAATCAAGGTTCTCATATTTGTTTGCTATGTCTCTTTGGTCTTATTTTAAAACACTGACATCAACATAACTTCACTCCACAGTCCCTAAAATGTCAACATTCAAAGATAGGAAACATGGGGCCAGCCGAGTGGCGCATTGCTTGAGAGCTGGCTTGGGACGCCAGAGGGCCCTGGTTCGGATCCCACATATGAGGGCCAGTGACACTGCCCTCCACAGCTAAGATGCTGAACAACAGCTCAACCTGGAGCTGGGCTGCCATGAGTCGACGGCGACGGGCAGGTGGGTTGCCATGGGCTGCTGTGTGTAGCCAGCAGCCAGCGTGAGCAGCCAGCAGCCGCTGTGAGCGGCCGTCCAGAGGCCGGCAACTGATCTGCCTCACCCGGGAAAAGCGCAATGATGATGCCAACTTGGGCCAGTGGGGCGACGTCCTCCACGGCTGGACTGAGGAGCAAAGGGATAGCAACTTGTCTGTTCCCCTCCCCCAACTCCCCAACAAAAATCTTAAAAATATATATATATATATAGGAAATACGCATAAATATAATGGGAGAAAAGTAATTTACTCTAGAACTTAAAATTTTCATTTCCAGGTAACTGGAGTATTTATTGGGTGTATCAAAAGTTCTAAATTGCTAAGTGAAAAGATGGTCAACTACTGATTCACCACAAGTTCCCAGCTGCCTGGAGAACCTCAACATCAGGAATCCCAAAGGAAAGAAAAGGGAGGGGAGAGGAGGAAAGGGGAATCTGATAGAAATCACAAAAGTCTCAGCCTACCCAGGGTGTCGATGACCAAACTATCTGTTGCGGTTTTCCAGCCTATTTCATTCCCTGCAAAACAGAGCTTAGAGGCTGGACTCTCGTTCCTGTGGGAACTGAGAATAATCAATCAGCAAGTAAGCCAGGTGAACAGATCAACTTAGAAGAAAGCAAAGTTAGAAACTTCGGGACTTTTCAAGAAGACTATGCAAATACAGTCATGTGCAGTTTAACGGGACATCTTCTGAAAAATGCATTGTTAGGCAATTTCGTCCTTGAGCGACCATCACAGAGGGCACTTACATAAACCTAGATGGTCTAGCCTACTACACACCTAGACTAGATGGTAGAGGCTATTGCTCCTAGGCTACCAACCTGTATAGCATGTTACCATACAAAACAACACAAGATTAAATCAAATACAAGAGAACATATATGATGCAATCAAGAAACGGTAAACGTAAGATGTATGAGGCTGCTGCCAGCATAACAGGGCATACTGCTTTACAGTAAACTTTTTTTTAGTAAGTAGAAATAGTACTCTAAAATAATGACAAAAAGTATAGCATACTAAATACATAAACCAGTAGCACAGTCATTTATTATCAATTTTTCTGTACTGTACACAATTGTATGTGCTATACTTTTATATGACTGGCAGTGCAGTAGGTTTTGTTTATACCAGCATCACCACAAACACGTGGATGATGCATTTCTCTACAAGATAGAGGAATTGCTCAGCTTCATTATAATCTTATTGGACTACCTTCGTATATATGGTCCTTCCTTGACGGAAAGGTCATTATGTGGTGCAAGACTCTACACCAGACCATTAGGATTTCCATCAGTCAGCATTCAAAGGGTCCATTACATATGCATGAAACATGGTTAGGTGTTGTAGTGACTGGAGGATGAGAGTATGAAGATTAATAAACAGAAACCTCATTCAAATTAGAGCTGAGAGGTCTTATAGAGGAAGCTCTCACACCCTACCACTCAAGGTCAATTACCCCAAACAGGAAGACATGTACTTTCCATCTCCAACAGGAAGATGTTTTTCTACTACACCAGCAGGAGAAAGGGGAAATCTTCTCCTCACCAGGCAACCATTCGGCCAATGAAAGACTATTACAACTCAGCCAATGAAAAGCCACTCCACTTCAAACTCCCAGTTTCCTCCAATGGACTCTGTTTGCAACAGCCCCTTGTTAACTCCCCCTTCCCTCTATAAAAGAAAATACCTCTCTTTTGTTCTCTGGATTTAGCATGGTTTGCCATTAGACTGCATGTGCCCAACTGCAATTCTTTGTTGTTCTCAAATAAACCCACTTTGCTGGAGAAATATCTGGTTGTCCATTTGTTTAAGGTCAACAAGAGACTTGGCTTCTGTCCTGCAAAATGCTGAATTGGTTCAAAAAGAAAGCTCTTACTGCTATCTTTTATAAGCAACCTCCCATGACCTTTAAATCATGTTATCTTGACCAACAAAAAGTGATCTTTTAACATTTTCTTTTCATTACTTTCTAAATCTCTTAATCTCACTTAAGATTCAGTTTCTTGTCAGGAAAATGAACATAAAAAAAATACCTGCCCTCAGACAGTCCTTGTTCAGAGCAATCTTGGGGCCCAGGGCAGACCACTCCAAAATATCCTACAATGGCATATTGATTATTTTTAATTAAAGTTACTTAAGAAACTGCCAGTGCAAGAAGACAAACACCCTGACCTCTCTCTGTCCATCTGAAAGCAGGACATAAATCGCTCATGCGAAAGGTGCCCTCCCTGTACCTGGAAGCTAACAAGAGAGACATCCTTATCACCAGAGTTAAGGGGGAATTTAGGGCCGTAAAGCATATATAAACAAAACTTGTGACTCCTTTACTAATTTAGTACCCAAGCCCACACTTGGCTTAGATTCCTCACTAATGAACACCCAAACCTAAATTTCTTTGTCCTGTCAATTCTTCACAAATGTATTGTTTCTTTGTGTAAAAGATATAAAAGCGGCCTGCTTTGGAGGACTCACTGAACATCATTTTATGGCCTCATGTGCATATGTATTAAATTGCTTTTTCTCCTGTTAATCTGTTTTGTGTCAATTTTATTATTAATCCAGCCACAAAACTCAGACGGGGGAAGGCGGGAATTCTCCCCTCCCAACAGTAACCAAAATAACACTCATAAAGCACTTTACAATGTCTGGCTGGCTACCATCATCATTATTACTACTACTAGTAGTAGTTAATAGTAAATAAAGTTGGTGTTTAGTAATAACATTAAATTAAAATCTAACATTAAAAATTAAAGTTTATCAATTGGGCAAGCAATCTGACTGTAGCTCAAAATCAGTATTAGAAGTGGACTATTTCTGACAGAAGCCAAATCAGATTTAATTTAGCATTTACCTTGTGCCAGACACACAAATATTAATCCATTTAACCATCACAACCTTATGAAACAATAATTATTTCACATGCGAGAAAACTGAGACAGAGAGACTAATCTGCCCAAATTTTATACAACTGATTGAGAGAGAGGCTGATGCTCTAGCCCAGATCCATGCTAATGCTTTCCACTAGACTTCATTGCTTTTCTGATTTTAGATGATTTAGCGCACAAAATACCATAATCAACAGAGAGCCATGTAACTCAATTCTGGACCTCTGATTTTTTTAGGGAGAGGAGATATTGCTAGTATTTTCAATGGAGACCTACTATTTTTATTTTTATTTTAAGATTTTATTGGGGAATTGGGGGAGGAGAACAGCGCTGGGGAGTTGGGGGAAGGGGAATAGACAAGTTGCTGTCCTTTTGTTCTTCAGTCTAGTTGTGGAGGATGTTGCTTCACTGGCCAATGTTGGTATCATCATTGCACTCCAGCAGATTGGTCGCCAGCCACCAGATGGCCACTCACGATGGCTGCTGGCCACACACGGTAGCTTATGGCAACCCACTGCAGCAGGAGCTGCAGCCTACACCGTGGCCGGCGACTCACGGCAGCCCAGCTCCAGGTCAAGCTGTTGTTCACCATCTCAGCTGTAGAGGGCAGTGTCACTGGCCCTCATGTGGGATCCAAACCGGGACCCTGCTGCTCAGAGCTGGCGTCCCAAGCCAGCTCCTAACCAACACACCACTCGGCCGGCCCGAGACCTACTATTAAAATGACTTAGTGACCACTGTTAAACTGAGATAAACACACTACATAGGGAAGTGAAATAATTAGCAGTAGCTTCAGTGAAGTTTCTGAAGTGTAATTTTTGATACCAGTAATTAAATCCATAATCCTTAAACTAAAAGGCATCACCAGGAAGTAATGAGAAACTACAGGCGGAAGCCACATAGAGTAAGTTTGCATGCATCCCTGAACGAATGTCTGTATTTTCCAACACCCAAATGTAGTCACTAAACAAGATATGGCTAGAGTTTACGAAAGCACTGTATTTTTTCCCCATTAATCAGGATATACCACACCTTTATTAGACTTCTTATCCTCTTCCCTTTACCCATGTGCATTTTTTAGAAATCTGACTATGCTCTGAGAATGTGTTTCTTCCTTCTGCCTGAGTCACTAGCTAATAACACAAGACAGCCTTTGTGACATACATTACCTTGGTTCCTGCCTTAAAACCGATTCCTCAAAAATGGCCCCAGAAGATGAAACTGGGGAGGAGAGAGAAGGAAATGGGAGAGTTAAAGAAAGAAGTACCAATCTGGGAAAGATTGGGGAAAGGGTGGTCAACTTTGAAGTCTATGTTCCAAATTTGGTGCTTATGTAATTAATGCTTCTAGCCCTGGGCACTTTTTTCATGAAAGTGGCCTGTCTAGTTTCTATTTAAAGCCTTGAGTTTTATAAAAGAAGATATAAATAACAGCTAAAGTGTTAATATAGAATAAATTTATTGAATGTTTGACATTATTCTAAACACTCTCTTTGTATAGCCAAAGGCCACACACACACACACACAACTCATATCCTACCTGCCAGGTTTTCCTTTTTTCCCCTTAGTACTTAACCACTATTTACTATATCCTATAGTAGTTAGGCATTTATCTTTATCATTGCCTCCCCCGCAAGAATCTGAGCTCCCCGAGGGCAGGGATTTTTCTGTTTTGGTTCCAGTACCTAGAACAAGGCCTGGCACACAGGTGGTGCTCAAGAACACTTCTGGTGTTTGAGTGCATAGTGTGTCTATCGAGAGAACTCCCTCTGAGAGGCTGCTCTGCACCAGGTAAATCAAGTCACTTCGTCTAAGAAATGTTACTACCAAGTACGCATGCGTAAACCGAGTTAAACTTGTCACAGCTGCAACTCCACCGAGTAGTGAGTGGTGCAGGAGTCTGAACCCAGTGCCTCCCTCACAAGGGCTCCTTTGATCTACAAAAGCATCCTGATTGTCAAGCCCCTGCCTGAGACACAAACCCAGAAAACACACCTTCACAAGTAAGGGGCTGCTGCAGGATGTTCCGTTAACCAGGACTACGGGATTTCATGTTTAACAAATTCAAAGCAAAGCTCCTTGAGCTCCCTGTGAAAAAGACAGGAAGTATATGGGGTGAGAAAGACCTCCCAAATCCTCCAAATTCAAAACAGGGGAGATAAGGCAGGGAAAGGTCTGCCCCCCCCCACCCCCCAACAAACGCGGCCCCAGACCAGAAAGGACTTAGTATGATGGCTAAAGGCATGTTCCAGGGACAAAGCTTGCTCAAAACAAAACCAACAGCTATCCTGAAAAAGACTGCCTGAAAAGAAGACATTTTCTAAAAAGTCTCCATTTTTTTTACAATTTCCAAGATTTTGGAATTGAGTCTGTATTATTTTATTTACTGGGAAAAATAACATTTTCAATAGAAATTTCCCCGCTTTTGTAAGAAAAAAAAAATGACAGTGTCACCATCTATTTAAAAAAAAAAAGAAAGAAAATTCTGATGTGACCTACTCTTTAAAGATCGAGAAATTAGATGAATGGACAAAGTTTTAACCTTACTTAAGAAATGTGAAGTTGTATTTGTCACTAATATCCCAAGCCAGATTCAGATGGCAGTTTTCTCACAATATTGGCCAACACAAACGCCTCAGTATTCGCATCCTTCAACACAATCATAGCTCTTTAATAGTTTCCTTTAAAATGCCTATTATAATACACTGGCTTCTAAATGGAACCAGTTAATGATAATGGAATTATGAATAAGTGGAGAAAGAAAGGTCACTTTTAGTGTCATTATATTTTCTAGTTTTCCTTTTCTGGGAGAGGGGAGAACAGAAAATAAAGACTGATTTACTTTTATTATAAAATTCGCAAACAAACCTCAGATCAAAAAAAGTACTCCACAAAAACTGATCCATCCCATTTCTTTTTTTTTAAAGCTGAGCCATCCTGCCACCTGTTGGCAGCTCAGCAGTTGCTCAGCTCAGGCTGGGACTCGAACCACTGTTGCTCAGAGCTCAAACTCTTGAGCGAGCTCTTAACCAACTGAGCCACTCGGCCGGCCCTTAATCCCTCCCATCTCTAAAGCCAACTTTTGTGAGTGTGCTCAGGACACAACTCAGAATTCAGCACAAGAGCTAGAAACCCAGTTCTTCCGAGCTTGTCCAGTTTGCTTTTTGACTTTTTCATTAGCAAGAGAATGTCCATGGTTCAGGATTAACTTTGGAGAAAACTAATCTTACCAGGAAATTATTTTATATTTCAAACTGTTCTAAAAATATCACATCCTTGCCCACACTTCACCTCTACTCCACCTCCCTCTCCTCCTCCTCCCCAGTAAAGAATTTATTTAACAGATGAAGACTGACTCTGAGAATGATCTCTCTGTAAAAACATTAACAGGACTATGTATGACATGTGTTTTGAAAATAGGGTCTCTGAGCCCATGGTCACTAACTCACGTGACATTCATGATTCTTTTCCATCATTTGTTAATAAATTAATTCTCACTTATTTATAGACTGCTGTTATAGATTAAACGTTTGTGTCCTCCCAAAGTTCGTATGTGGCAGGCCTAAACCCCCAATGTGGCCTTTGGGAAGTGATTAGATCATGAGGGCTTAGTGCCCTCATAAAAGAGGACCCAGAGACCTTCTGCCGTGTGAGGACACAGCAAAATACTGTTGTGAACAAGGAAGTGGGCCACCACCAGACAGGGAATCTGCCAGCCCCTTGCTCTTGGACTTCCAAAACTCCAGAACTGTGAGAAATAAATTTCTATGGTTTACAGGCTACTAAGTCTATAATAGTGTGTTATGGCAGCCCAGATGGACTAAGACGCTCTGTAAACATGCCTTGTTTACAAACAAAATACACACTTGTATTAGAGATTCCTCCACTGACTAGCCCACCAGTTCCTTAAGGAACTAGATGTGTCTTTCTTCTGTTGCCTCGGGAAACAGTGGCCATCAGTTTGCCTCCCCCTCATCCTGGTGACTCCTCACCAAGACTGCGCACAGTTCTGGCACCACGAAGATTTCTCTCATCCATGAAGAATTTTTAGGCTGTAACAAGTCATCTTCTTCAGAGACATTCTCTTTTTAAAGAGTACGTCTGCAGGTATCAAATTTCAGCCACATGTTGATTGAACTACTTTAAATTAGGGTTCCAGACATGTCACTGTCGCCCACCAAATACTACCTAAATAATGCCACCCACACTTCCTACCACAGATGAGCACAATGCAATGTGACCGTTTTTTTTTTTTTTTAAGCAAATGCATCTCTCCCAATCTCCCTCTGAATTATAAGTGCCCTGGAGGCACACTTTTACCCTTCCCCCTCAGTGGCAAGCTCCGTTTCTGGAATTCAAGAGATGGTCCCTCAGTGACTAGAACAAGGGTAGAGCAGGTAGGGGTCTCAATAAGCATCCTGATTGTCCTTCATACACTCAGGACAGCAGCAGAGGTGAGGTGAAAAAAGGTGCCCAGTCTGGGAATCCAAATACTCTGCCCCATCCTCTTTTCCTTTAAATGGTTTTACTTCGTGGTTAGTTATACATAATATACAATTTACATTCAAATCATTTTTAAATGTACAGTTCAGGGGCATTAAGTAGGTTCACATAGTTCTGCAACCATCCCCACCATCTATCTCCAGGACTTCTTCATCTTCCCTTACTGAAACGCTGTGTTCATTAAATGAATGCCTTCCCATTTCCTGCTCCCACCCCACCCAGCAACCGCCATTCTCTGCCAGTGATTCTGACCACTCATGTAAGTGGAATCATACAATATTTGACCTTTTGTGGCTGGCTTATTTCACTCAGCATAATGTCTTCAAGGTTCATCCATCTGTAGCACGTGCCAGAATTTTACTCTTTATTTTATTTAGACTACCACTCTGTTGACAACCTAGAATGGTCCACAGATTAAAGGAGCACTATCAGGAAATCCCACACTTTCCACCAGGCAGGCCGGCCCATTTCTCTGGTCAGTTTTCGCCTGAGTGGGCCTTCAGAACGATTTTTCTTATCTCCGGGCTTACAGACTCAGGCTTTTGTAAACAATTTTCACCACACAAGTTCAGCATTTCCCCACCACCAGGAGATAGAGCGTTCGGCCTTCTTTATCTTTCATTTCAACTGCTTTGGGAGATCTGGAGAATGGAAAGAGGAACACAGAAATCACAACTATGGAATCTTCTCTGCAGTGCAAATTCATTAGGAAGATCTCTTTTTTAAACATCATTATTGAGATATAACTCACATACCATAAAATTCATCCATTTGAAGTTTACAATTCAATGGTTTTAGTATATTCAGCAAGTTGTACAACCGTCACCACCATCTAAGTTTACAACATTTTCATCAACCCAAAAAGTAACGCTGTACACCGATTAGTAGTTGCACCCCTCTCCTTCCCATTAATTTCAATCTTAACGTTTATATCTATTTGATAGTCGTATACTTTTTCTACAACTCCTAAAGTACTCAAAAGTCTGATAATTACTTGTCCAGTACTGTCAAATACATATACAGCGGGTGCCAAAAAAATGTGTACACATTTTAAGAAAGAAAAAACTATTAAAATTGTAATACTCAATATATACTGATAACAAAAGATGAATACAGGGGGCCGGCCGAATGGCATGTTGGTTAAGAGCTGGCTTGGGATGCCAGCTCTGTGCAGCAGGGCCCTGGTTCGGATCCCACATGAGGGCCAGTGACACTGCCCTCTACAGCTAAGATGCTGAACAACAGCTCGACCTGGAGCTGGGCTGCCGTGAGTCACGGGCGACGGTGTAGGCTGCAGCCCCTGCTGCAGTGGGCTCCCATAAGCTACCGTGTGTGGCCGGCAGCCAGCGTGAGCGGCCAGCAGCCGGTGTGAGCTGTCAAGAGCTGCTGTGAGCGGCGGTCCAGAGGCCAGTGAGCGACTGCCTCACCCGGGAAGAGCGCAATGATAATACCAACACGGGCCATTAAATGGCGTCCTCCACAACTAGACTGAAGAACAAAAGAACAGCAACTTGTCTGCTCCCCTTCCCCGATTCCCCAACACTGTTCCCCTCTCCCAATTCCCCAATAAAATCTTTAAAAAAAAAAAAAAAGATGAATACAAGTCACATTTAACTTCTTCAATTACAAGAGGTACTCCAAGTGGTTACCATCAGCGTCCAGACACTTCTGATTATAGTGAGCTACTACTTAAGCAATGTTGACCCACGTGTCCACTTG